GTCACCTCCCAAAGACAAGACAGATCTTTATCAGATCTTCAGGACAAAATTATTGATTCATTGTTCTATATTAACACCGTTAATGGTTTTAAGAAAGTGCTACCTATATATGGAGTTGATCAGAGTATCAGCTGCACACTGAACTCAGACCTTTGCTCTACCTTCACTAACCTAAACAGCTTAACTACGATTCAGTTGGTTATTTAAAACCAATCAATAAGTAATTAGTGCTCAAATCATCATACTTAAAATATAAATCATGCATGTACTTCTTCTTCTGTACTGTTACCATCCTTCAGTTCATTTGAAAACGTAGACATTTAGAATTAAACCAAATTTAAAATCTAACAAGAAACTGTAAAATACTTCACAACTGCTAAGGCCGGAATGCCATGTATTACTTGTATCTGTTACACTGGAAGGCTACTGAGAAACCATGACATGAGTTCCGACATTTTAATACTCAGAATCTGGCTACTTACTGTGTAAGAAAGGAGGTGGAGAAAAAAAAATAAAAAAGGCAGATCTAGGCAATTTTCTCTCTTTTTTTTCTTTTTGTCCATAAAGTTGAAGGCTGTCAGTATTTGTGTGTCATCATGTAAGAAAAATTAAGATTGGACTTCATGTTAAGAAATAGATTTTAAGATACCAGTAATAACATTACTAAGTGTGGTTACCTACTAAACTGTCAAGAAGCCAGAGCCCAGCATGCTAAATTTAGACTAAAGAAATACAGTGTTTTAAAAAAATCAATCTTCAAATAGATATTGCATACAACTATTTCTGGTTGAAAAAAACCCACTAGATCTAAACAAAGGTTTTAAAATTGAAGTCACCAGGGTGTATTAGCTAGTATGACTCCTTTACTCATAAATACAAAATTGTATTTGTTACACCAGTGAATGTTCCAATACTTCAACTCAATATATTTATGTATATATACACTTTAATATTTATATACAAATTCATTGCATGTTGGTATTGGCATTTAGGTATGAAATACTGAAGTTATATATAATTTCTAAATTTAGCTTATAATTTTATTTGGTCCAGAATAATTCCTATTAAAATCAATGAGGAAAAAAAAAATCCCATACCAAAAGACCTCCCCAAAGAACTTTCTCAGTCTCCTTGCAAAAGACGGCATGTTAAAACTATCTTTATACACAATAAACACCACCTTATTTATTTCTGCTAGCGAAATATTTATCAGTAATGCTGCCAAGAATTACTTGATGCATGCCAGAATCTCCAGAGCACCAAACTGCTATGCATTTTGTATTGTTTCTAAAGAACGTTACTTGGAAAGCAGCAAAACTTAGCATAATTTCTGGAAATTTGTTACAGTGCTACTATAATTACAAACCCATGAGGTAGACATCCTTAGTTAGAATACTGGTCTTCAGACATTTAATTCCTTCTCTATCTTTTTCATTGTAAAAAGAATTTCTTACCCTTGCTTCCAAGGGTCTATTCAGGCACTATCAATCCTCCTGGTTAGGAGGCTGTGTCCCAATATCTTCACGTGGCCAAAAGCTGAAAGAAATACACTATTTACCTGAGAGCAGTGAAGGAAAAGAGAACTGTGGGAGCAACTCGGAAGCACGAGATGACATTAGCTCTCTTCAAGCCCCAGCACTCTGCTGTAAAATGGAACTGAACCGTTGCCTGTGTCCCAGGGACAATCAGTTAATGTCAGCCTCAAAAGCCAGAGACGAGGATCACCTGGCACAATGGCACAACACTACTGCTCGCCACATGACCATCACAGGACCTTCACCTGAACCACTCAGAAGCCAAAGAATACTTCAGAACAACAAACCAGCCGCGATTTTGTATTTCCCATATGGCTTAGTTTCACGTCTGTTCCCATGATCTCATCTCCAGCTCTTATCTGCTACATTTCACTCCAGACTGATCACTTCTTCTCTTTTGCCTTTCAAAGATCAGCTTTTTACCTCCTTTTTTTTTTTTGTACCTTGCAATCAATTTTTCCCAGTAAGGATATGGAAGCAATCTCCCTTCCATAGGAAAGGCCTTCTAGTTGCCTTTCAACACCAATCACAAAGCAGACACCAGCAGAGTTTCTAGTGAGTATTTAAATATAACAGAAAAATTATAATATTTGACCAATATTTTAAATCTGCTGATATGTTCTGCAGCACCACTCCTCAGGACAGACGCCAATTGGTCTTGACGTACAAGATGCACTGAAGTATTACTCAAATTCAGCGATGAAGATATCTATCATATTGCTTTATATACATATTCTTAAGAGAAACAGTTTCAAATTGAACACTTTTTCCTAGAATAAGATATATCAATGGTTGAGTATCAACTGTCTTCAAGTATTACAGATCCACAACAAAAATCTTGGTCATAGAAGTTTTCTGCTTCAAATTTTTGATCACTGCAAAGACCTGAACCACAAAATAGCTCTCCTTGGTTATTTCAAACAGTGAACATATTAATAGTTCTCTTTTTACTTAAGAAGCTTCATAATCTTAACGTAAAAGAACAGGTTAACACAAGGAACTTGCTAATGTGCAAAAGTGTGTTGCTAGAAAGTTTACTGGAAGGTATTTCTGAAGTAGCTCAAAAACACACATTCTGAAGGGTGGCAGATGTACACGGATAAACCTGCCAGAACTACTTGATAGTGCTGACAAGCAGAACTTACTGTGTCAACATATTGCCCAATTTCAGGGCGGGGGGAAGAAGGGGAAAAAAAAAAAAAAAGGCAACCAGAACCTTGGCAGCAAACATTAAAACTCTTAGACTAATCTGCATTTCATTTTTATCGTGTAACTAAAACAGTTGCCTCCTATCAATAGTATGGTTTCAAGACATCTTTGGCAATTCGTTAAGTACAGTAGCAATTAACATTAACCCAGATCACAATTTTGTAAGCAAAATTCAGCAGCTTGTATTAAAAAAAAAAAAAAGAGCCTAATAGGAGAAAAAAAATACAAGTTTTCTGAGTCTCTGAAATCAGACTGTTATACCAGCTGGTGCTGAGAGTAGTCTAAGTATTTGCTTTCAATTGAACCTGAAAACACCAAGTTAAATTCACAAAGAAGAAAACAAGTTTCCAAATTTATATATTGCCTAATACCTTAGTTTTTAAAAAACTTACTTTTAAAAAACAGAGGAACTTTTCTTTAAAAGCCGTTGTCTACTTTTTTTTCTCCTAGTGATGACTAAATATTTGTCAGTTTAATTTGAGACAATTTATGGTCACAATAATAAACTTGTATATTCATCAAAGATGTATCTCAACAATCAAACCACCAAAATAAGACCATTTACTGTTGTTTTCCCGACTAATTCAAATATACCAAAATTTGTCATGTCTTATATGTAGACAATTAAGAATAATTGTAAATCGAAACACATTTCCCACTCCTAAAAATTGACTGGGAGCTATATTCATTAGCTTTTGTGTCGCTGTTCTCTGTGCAACATACTATTTGAACCAGACATATCGTGTCTAAAGCGTAATCTTTCTCCAGACTTCAGTGCTCCCAAGGCATTAACCAGCAGTTCACCAGAAGCCACTCCGCCTTCATTTAGGGCAGCCAATAAAAAATTTGCAACTCTCCCTTTAAACAGAATGAAGCAGCAAAATGAAATTTCAGGGCTGACTATAAGGTGCCCTCTCTGAATGGGACTGGAAAGTACACACGGTAACATATATTTTACTTCAACAGTATCTAAAAATAATGGGGGTGAGGGTTGTGTGTTTGATTTTCTTTTTTTACTGTCTCTCTAATAGTAAGTGTCAATCTAAATGCTATTCTTACCAAACTTGTAAGTTAAAAATGTTTAAGAGTTCATACTTTGTTGAAAAATCAATTATCTAAAGAGCGAGAATATATGAATGATTTAAATGTATTTCAAAGCAGAAAATTTTGACTTGTCTGACACTAAAAAAGCTAACCCAGAAAAAATTTGAGATTCACTTCATCTTGTAGAGATGTAACTGCAAGTGCACGCTCTGCTTTTTTTCAGCCTAAAATGGATTTCACACCATGACAGGTTTCATTCTGCATTAAAATTGCAAATCTTCTATGTGGCCCAGTTTCAGCTGCAATTGATCTGCTTTGTCGTCATAGATTAAAAAAAACAGTGAAGGGCACTGCAGCTTTAAATATTTCAGAGCTATGTAGCTAGTAAATAGACTCCATTGCAATATGGCTCTGAAGGTCGTGTCCTATTGTCTCTTTTCTCTGCAAATATTTTGAACAGCATAAAATGGTTTATTCTATACAATACCTCCCTGCCATTTCTAAATCATGTCAATTGTATTAGGCACTTCCTTACTGGAAAGGACAGATACGCCACTCTTTCCACACACACCCACGCTGCTTCGTGTTCAAAACGTCCACTGTGAATATAACAGCAGGGTGTACATATTAGATGTACACAGCTTTTCATATGGATACCTTATGCAAACAGACTCCCCCGTTAAATCCCACCAACAGAAGGACAATTAGTTATTTCAGTGGTGATAAAATAATTAACTGGATTTCAGGTCAAGAAGCATCTTTGGTTAAAATTAACAGCCCAGTTAGAAAACTGAAGCCAGCAATTTTAACATTTCCATTCTCTCACATATGGGAGAATATGAAAAAAAATTATAACACAGGAAAATGTTGTCTGCCAAATCTGGTTTTCATGAAGGAAATTACCTTTCAGATGCTAAAAAGGAGCAAAAAACAACCAAAAAAACCCACGAAAAACACACTAAAAAACAGGAGCCCTGTCACATATAACAATAAGTTACAAGAAAAATGAGACTATAAACCTGAAGCCCAAATTGGAAATCTCTGTGTATGCAGACCCCAGATTCAGCCCCAGTTCTTTCATATAAGGTGACTATTTGATGCAAATATGAGTTATAGAGATGCCTCTTAGAGCAGTAATGTGACATACACCCCTGCAAAACCCACAAATTTGTGACAGCTGTCACCGTTCAGAAGGTGCACGCAGTCATTTACCTGAAAAGGCAACAGATTGTTGCCATTGTCCGTCCTGAACGCGTTGTCTTCCATCCAGGATTTGGGGGTTAAGGGTGCAGCCCGTGGGAACTTCGGAGGGGCAATGACATTGCTGGAGAACGGTTTTTTAAGGGGTGAAATGGGATTGAGGGGGGAGGGTACGCCGACCCCCACTCCCACGCCGACCCCCACTCCAACTGCCCTTCGAGGGTCCCTACCAGCCTGCAGCCCACCCCAAGGGTTGGAAGGTGTACTCCAAGCCGCGTTTTGATGGTTATTCCAGCTGGAGGAGGAAGAAGAAGAGGCAGAGGAGGAAGACGGTTTGCTGGTCATGATGGGCTGATGGCTGTAAGCAGCATTTCTCTGGGCAAAAGGTGCCTGATTAGGGCTTACAGGTGACCTCCGCTGTTGCTGCTGCTGCTGGGCTTGCTGCTGCTGCTGCTGATGTTGGTGGTGTTGAGTCTGAGCTAGGCCAATCTGAGGTGAGAAAGTGCCACCAAATACAGGGTTGACATGATGTGGAAAATTCTGGAAAAGCATTGTCCCATTGACTGGAGTAATCCCTTGGAAAAAGCTATCATCCACCGTGTTTGTGGTCCCTGTAGACCAGGTGCTGCCAAAGGAGGGAGACAAGGAGGTGCCGGCTGCAGGTTCTTGTTGAGGCTGGTGAAAGCTCAAGCCAGGCAAAATGGGAGACTCCATCTGCATCTTCTCCTTGCTATTTTGGGAAGGAGCCGATGTGCCGATACTAGTCACTGAACTGTTGTCTTCTGGTTTGGGTGTCTCCGACGAGATGGGTGTAGAGGGGGCTTCTGCTGAGTTTGGATCTTGCTGTTGCTGCTGCTGCCGCTGCTGCTGGGGCTGGGCTTTGCTTTTGTCCATCAGTAAATCATCCTGCATGGTTTGCGCAGCTGAAACAGTAGGGGAAAAAACCACAAAGACAGATTATTAACATTGTCATTCATACCACAAACCAGTCTGTTTTAATCATTTGCCAGCCAAAAATCTCGTCCTATTGCTAGTACTATGCTACAGCAAATTGCAAGGCAAACCCGTAATCTTCCCCCTCCCCCATTTAGGAATATGTAACCTTTGATCGTGCCAGATTGCCTTTAAAAGATTTTTTAAGATGCTTCACCCTTTTTGATGCCTTGTTTCCCTTCAGTCTAAATGAGAGATGTGCTTATAGGGCAGAGATATACAGCAATTTCGCCACGTCTCTTTTCTCTTACACCGGAACTCAGAGCTCTCACCCTGCAATGAGAAACTGATTCTGGTTCCTGTTTTTCCAAGCACCCTCCTCCTCCTCCACCTCCTCCCCCTGGTTATTTGCATACGTCAATAAATACTGCTGCGTCCTTCAGCAAGGTTAAAAAGACACCAGTCTTCGCTCTTCTCCACCCCCTTTTCTATTAGGGGACCTTTAAAGGAGCCGGGTACCGATTTTTCCTAATTAACAAACAAGCTTTCAATGATTTAGATTTATCAGAGAGAAAGCACACACGACAGCTCGCACTGATACGGGAGAGGTTCTTCGCTGCACAATCCTTTCCTGCCCTTTCCCTGCCGGCTCGGGGCAGGAGGGGCGATGGCAGCGCCGGGGAAGGGAGGGAGCGGGGGGTGGAGACACTTCAAGTACAAAGCCTCCGATGGGTGTTTTATTTGCCTTCATGACCTTACGATCTCTCCGTGTAAAATGCTATTTTACATTAAAGCAGTCATCTGCTCGCTCTGTTTATTTATTTATTTATTTAAAATCATCGGTAATTTGTTCATTAGAAAAACATAACGTCAAAAGGAGCAGATCTGAGACCTATTACTAGACTTTGATGTTTCTGTTGCTTTCAAATGAAAAATAAACCCAGGGAAAATCGAAATACCTAACATACAGTCATGGCTGCACGTTAAAGAACATCTTTATATGCATAAGACAAAGACGAGTGATGCAAATTATTTTTTTAAATCAATACATAAGTTTAAGCTTTAAAAAGTAAATGTGGAATGATTGAGTCTTACATCTGCTAGAAAAGGTGCTTTATATGAAAAAGATCATATAATTTCATTATTGTTTTGAAACACAATAGTACTAATGCAATACAGACGTCAATTACCAGCAATTGTATGAAATCACAACAGGAACATCAACATTTTGCAGGCTTTTAGTCAACTGAAGAGATCATTCTAAATCTCAAAAGTATTTTAGATGAGCCCCAAATCACTCAGTTTAATTGAGTAACTAAGTAAAAAATGGCCATCGCTGATACCTAATTGCATTTCTATTGAGTTAATCATATGACACGAATATGCCTAAGACTGCATTTTTAGGATTGTTGTTTTAATGTAACAAAGTAAAGCCAAATCGATCGACTGTTTAAGAAAGGTGGCAAAGCATGAAATTGTCGACACTGTCCTTCCTGACATCAGCGGTTTTCAGATGGTCTTTGTGTATCTAATATCTCTTGTTCCTTTTTTTATTTCTTTTAAATCTTTTTGAACCATACACACACGTTTTAGTTAAAATCAACGTCAGGAGAGGTTTCTGCTATCAATTAAGTTACTGCTTATGGTCCCCCTTATTTACCAGTTCAATATGTAAACCGAGCAGCAATGGTTCCTGAACAGACTAAACAGTGAGACAACATTAAAGCAAGCTCTTAAGAAGGACGGACTAAACTATTGCATCTGTACCAGGCAGCACTGCTGCTGCTGCTGGGAGTGCAGAAAACCTTGTGAGGCAGTTTAAAGCAATACTGCAGTAAGCCAGAACATACCAAGCTCTGTGTAACTTTCCATTAGCTTCACTTCTACCAAAAATCACTATTGCTCCTAAGGCTAGGTAAAGCTACTCATGGTTCCACATCAGAGAGAGAAAAGGATTATATGTATCCCTCTACCCTGGTTCTGAGCTATCAGTATAAAAATACATTTAGGGATAAAAACATAGCAGATGAAATGTTAAAATTCTGTCGTCAATAAAGTATATTTAAATCAGTTAGTCACCAGGTTATCTATAGTGGCTAGCACAGCAGTTGCTTCAAATATGTACCTTGACTTAGCTAGCTGGTTTTGAACTTTATCCTAAGGACTGTGATTCACATTCCCTTTCATATTTCTTCTTAAAGGTAAAAATCACAGGGCAGTTCAACCCTCTTGTCAAGGTCAAGACCTACCTTTAATGAATGAAGCCAGTCTGAATGGAAAAACACTGGATAATAAATGACTTTGAAAGACAGACCAGCCAATGTCTAATGCTGGACTACTACGCAGTACCTCTTGATTATTTGCTGGTGTGAGTATTTTTACAAATTTACAATCCAGTACAGGAAATCTATATCCCCACAGCAATACCAGCTTTGTTTGCATGCAGTAACCCACGCAGTCAACACAAAAATTTTTAAGGAACAGTTACCTTTGGATTTTCTGTATTTAAAGATCAGTAAAAGGACAGTATATTTATTTTCTTCTTTCGGGTTTGCTATATGACAAATAGTCGACCATTCGGGCAAGAGCACTTTGACAACTGGAAGCTCTCAGCGCATGCTCTCCCAAGGAATCATGGGGGTTGAAGTCTTATCTATACACAGCATTTCAAGGCTGCCTATCCTGAAAGGAAAAGAGCTCGAAAGGAAAAAAAATATATGTGCACACTCCCTCTTTCCAGGGAAAACTGCTGCAGTCTGAATCACCAGCTCTGAGAAAATATCTGTCATACTGAGCTGAAAATGAGGAACTAAGTAAGAGCTTTAAACAGCTTCATTTATAAGCCCATATCAATTAGCCACCTATTCAGAATAACTGCTAGACAAATAAATAGTTCTAGTATTTCCAAAATTCCCTTTCAACCTCCTAGTATAAAAAAATTAATTATAAGTTCATACGAGCTATAAAATTTAAAGCTATTACAAAGGAGATTGTGCCATGTTCCTTAGCTGAAGAAAATATTGAATAATCACCTAATATGATTTCTCAAAATATTCTGAAACTCAAACACAAGTAGGTCAAGTATGAAAATTTAAAACAAATCAAAATCAGTGCATAGGTGAACAGTTGTACTATTTGAATTTCCAATTGAGTTTCCAATTTCCAAGTTCCGACTTTTTCATTACTGAGTTGTTACACTGAAAATTCTTCCAAAAAAAATAAGCTGCTCAGAAAAAAAGCAAGGTGCAAATTTTACTATTTAACATTTCATCTACTCTGTGCACCGCAGGTCCACATTTCAACCACCTTCCTTTCACTACCTACTATCTACATATGTCCAGGCTCTACATCAATATACACCCTGACAGGAGTTCCTCTCGTAAGATATTAATATTGTGATGATTAATGTAGGTTGGGTAAAGTCTGCAGAATTTAATTTCTTGACACTTGTGTTCTGTTTTGCACTAGCCCATTCTGTGTATTTATTCTGGGTAATTATTCATAATACTAATTATTTGGGACTAAATACTAATGTTTGTATGAAAATTACATAGTTGAAATCAGAAGTGTGAAAATAACTGTTTAATAAAGGTCCAGGCTGATTTTCAAAGGATGAATTATGCATAGCTTTGTAGGTGAAAGAGAGAAGACTGAAGCTGAAAAAATAAAAAATAGGGCAGTTGAAAGTGAGTTTTCATAACACTTATGCCTCTGCTTTCTGCAGTCTGTTTATGTTGGACTGTATGGTCTGCCTGCCCTAAATCAATGCTGTAATTAAGAGTTTCTCAACACTTGCTCTAACCTGTTTGTGCTACTCTGAATCATTAAAGGCAGTTGAAAACTGCTTTCTTACAGCAATTAAAAAGACTTAATTTCATGAACTATCCCAGCTATCACAGGGCTGGCTCTAGGCATTCTATATCCCCCCTTTATGTCCCTATTTACTTCTGGATTATAGCTTTTCAGATGACTTGAGGATTCACGTGGAAGGTACTGATTCTGTCAGTTCTTCCCAGGAGACAGCTTCGCTTTGTAGATCAAACATTAGGATAAGGAAAAGCACTCCAAAAACAAAGAAAACCAGGATGCAAATACAGTTTTTGATCAACTAGCCAGTAGCAGAAAAACCTTGTTGTTGTTGTTTCTACCAACCAACTCTTTCATAACTGGAAGTTAAAAGATAATAACAGCTGAATCAGAACATAAGAGCTTATTAATTCAATCTGGTATCTGAATTACTTGACCCAGGCCAGTTCCAAAGAAACAAATATAAGAAGGCCAAAATAAGCCTAGCTAACTCAATTAACATTGTACTAAGTGTATTTTTAAGAAATTCATTATGAAGCAATTTAAGCCTACTATGACTAACAAACCATGCTAGTCTTTTTGAAAGAAAGTGACTATTCAAACTAGCTTGACAGTTGAAATGAAGTGTTATGCTACTGAAAAAAAGTTTTGTTGTAGAAACCTTTTTCTCAGTTTAGATCAGTTTCATTTTAGCTTAACTGAGGACTCTTTGTCTTTTAAAAAATGGAAATGAGTAGATAAAAAATGCCTACTTGATCTTATAGTTTAATTTTACATATTACTATCATAGTTAATATTTAGTTTTGCCAAAATAGAATACTCTGATATTGTCAGATTACTTAGCTTTGTTGAAAACAGTGAATAATTTCAACAGTCTTAATGCTGTCACATCAAAAGAACTGTATTAAGGTACAGTTTCTTCATTATTTTTCCTCTTTTTCAGGCCTTGCTGAAATAACCAGATAAATATTGAATCTACCTCCGTATCGTTCTTGCAGTAATTGCTTGTCAACTTCTTTATTAAACTTAAATCTGTATAAATTTGTTATCGAACGATTTAGCATTTTAAAAGCTGATATTTTGCAGTAAATCTCATGGCCAAATTTAGGGCTCAATTTTAAGCCCTAAATAGCTTTTATTGCTTTTGGTGATTTTCGTTAAGTTCTCTACTTGCCTTCAAATGTGCAGTTTTACTTAATTCAAAATGGCTGATGCCTCCAGCTAGTGTCAGGGAGGCTGAGCTCTGGCAAATCTCCATTAGTAGCAACCACTTTCCCTCACTTTGCAGCGGTGAAACAGAGTCTGCTCCCAGGAGAGTTCTCTCGTGGTTCAAATGCAGGTACTACCAGGTGAAGGTAAAAGATGACGGAGCGAGACAGTGCAATTAACACCACGGAAGCAGAAGGAAGAAACAAAGAAGGATCTGTTAAGGGATGATATGGGAAGCAATAGTTTTAAAAGTGAAAAAACTGCAAGAGGCAACCTGAGGTTTATAGTGGAAATTGCCAATGAAAAGAAGGAAGCACAAAGATCAAGAAGTGGAAGGAAAATGAAAAGCGGGATGAGGGAGAGTGAAGGAGGAGATTGTAGGGGATAATAAAGCAAGCATTTGAATAGACCAGCTGCATATCCAGTCTTGTTAAGGAGATAAGGGTGGAATGACAACTCTTCCTGTATCAGACAATAAGGAGGGTTTTTTCTCGGATTGTAAAACAGTTGGTTATTCACTTATTTTAGGATCACACTTTGATTCTGAGAAGAGCAGACAAAAGGAGAACACATACCCCAAGCTGTCCAACAGACTCCTGAACAGTACAAAGGCACAAATCAGTTTTTAGATTTCAGAATCTGTAAGGGATGTTAAGAGGTCTGCCATTATAGAATGGTTTGGGTTCTAAGGGACCTTTAGTGATCATCTAGTCCAACTCCCCTGCAATGAGCAGGGCCATCCTCAACTAGACCAGGTTGCTCAGAGCCCAGTCCCACCTGACCTTGAATGTGTCCAGGGATGGGGCATCTCCCACCTCTGTAGGCAACCTGTGCCAGTGTTTTACCATCCTCATTGTAAAACATTTCTTCCTTCTATTCAGTCTAAGTCTTCCCTCTTTCAGTTTAAAACCATTAATGCTTGTTCACTTATACTTTTATGTATCCTATTATGCTTTTACTTTTCATGTTTGGGAAAAAAAATAGAATTTAAAAAAAAAAAAAAAAAAGATGTCCAAACCTACCAAGTGTTCACTATTTGACCAGATATTCAAGTTTTGTCCAGTCTTGTCGTACCTCCTTGTGCCAGTGGTAGAGCAAAGCAGCCACCTTTGTCACAGACCATTCCTTAGCCTCAAATGGTAGCCAAGTGATCCTGGGTTCTGGTTCTACTTCTTCAGGTAAGTATAGTTCACAGCCATTATTACTCATCGTGACCTTTCTCATAAATGGCAGGCAGCTAGCATATCTTTCCAACTCCAGAGCAAAACCATAGAATTTGCACAAACCACATAATCCTAGAAATAAAATCTGCTTCCCTATTTCCATTTGTAACACTAGAGAATAAATATAAAAAAATAAATATAATAAATATAAAACCCCTAAACATTTGGCTAGTCTAGCTGATCAGTGTTCTGGACAATAGACAATGCACTTAGTCTAGACCGAGAAGAGGAACTAGACATGCTTGATATCTAATATTGCTCTTACATGTCACTAACAGCTGTAATTGGGACAGAGTGTATTATGTTCTCTTCCAGGAAGTTATGCCCATATGGTTTACTCAAGCCACTGTACATCCAAGACTCCTCAGCAGTGCAAGCAACACTGAATTTTATGGTCCCAAGAATAAATACAAAATAAATTTTCTGTGACAGGATGTCGACACCTTTTTCCTCTCCGCTTCTATACACGCTTCCTATAAGGAACATTTGCATCACTATAACTACTTCAGCAGTCCTGTTCATGATACTTGTAGCAATTAGAAAATAAACAACACCCTCCCTACCTTTATGCGTATCTCTACTATTATACAACTAATGCAACTTACAAATCCAAGCCTAGATGTTTCACACACCTTTTTGACAACACTTTTCTCTCAACAAAGACTCTCAAAACCACATTGATTTGTCCCTAGCTAAGGCATAGTCAAAGAATCCAGTATATTCCCTTCCTCTTCTACCTGACCTCTATAGACATGTATATCCACCACGCAAATTCTTGGTCTCAACCAAGAACAGATGTAGGTTGATGCAGCTTTATAATTGCATACCGGGCTTGGCCCTGTAAATTACTACCTTGTACAGCAAATGCAGTGTAATAAGGTTGTAATTTACACAAGGTATGAGGAACTAGTTTCATGTAACAAAACTTATTACTATTCATTAAAAATATAACCTGAAAAGTTCAAAGTTGATCTCTACTAGCTAACCTTTCCAAGAATCTGTAATGTCACAACAGCCTCTGAAAAACAAGACATTGCCCTTTGCTTGGGGAACATGACGCAAGGGCAGGAGACAGATACCCACGGTGGAGGCAAATGGAAAGGCAACTTCTCTCCAGGTGCTATCCACCTCTTTGCTCTCTAAAGGCTTTCCAACTTCCGAATTTCCAGTTTTCCAGACTGTGATGCTCTATGTCGACTTCTGAACATACAGCAAATGTTAAAAGCACCTTAGAAGCACTTTTTCCCCATTGGGAGGCACGCCCACAAGCCCGGCTGAGAGCGTTGCCATTACCACCGGCTGCCCCCCGCCTCAGCCCACTCGCACACAGCAGCGAGCGGTCACCGGGCCTCGGCCGAGCACCAGGAGCACTTACAAGGGCGCCGGGTGCTCTTCCTTGTCATTGACAACAAGCCCACGGGCACGGATTAACTTCCCCTTCACCGTTCCATCCGACGCCCCTCGGGGCAGCCCGGTCGGGGCCGGCACCAGGCCGGGTCCCCTCCGCCCCGAGGGCAGGGCCCGGGGCCCGGCGGGCCGAGCAGGGGGGGCCGCCTGCACCTGTCCGGGAGGGGCCGTGCAGGAGGATGCTCCTGTCCCGAGAGGGTCCCTGCGGGAGCGGGGAGGGGGCAGAGGAGGCGGCCCGGCTTCTCCCTCCTTCCTTCCCTCCCTCTCTCCCTCCTCCCGTGAGGGGTCCCGGCGCGGCGGCGGAGGGTGGCGGGGGGGGCGGCGAGCGCCGGGCGCGGACCTTCCCCCCGCGGAGCCCCCGCGGTCCCGTATCCCGTACCTGCCCCGCGCGCGGTGCCGGGCAGCGACTGCGCGACGGCGGCGAGCAGAGACATGGGCAGGGCAGGGGCGCTGCGGGGAAGGGGAAAGAGAGGAGGGGGCGCGCCCCGCCGGACCTTTAAACCCGCGCCGGCGGCGGGACTACAGCTCCCGGCGGCAGGACTGCGGCAGGACTACAGCTCCCGGCGGCGGGACTACAGCTCCCGGCGCCCCGGGACACGCCGCCCGTTCCCTGTGGCGCAGGCGCTGCCGAGCACCGGTGACGGGCGCTGCGCTCAGCGCTCGCCGCTCTCCCGGGCGCCCCGTCCTGCCTCAGCCACCGGCCCCGCGCCGCGTCCCGCCCGCCGGAGGAGGGGCCGCCCCGCGGAAGGGCGGGTTTGCTGCCTTCCGTCGCTCCCCCTTCGCCGCCACCACACGCGTGACGCCTTTGTGAGGCTCCGGGCCCTCGGCTGGGCCCGCTCCGCCGCCCGGGGCCATGGCCGAGCAGACGGGCCTGGCGCTGCCGCAGACCATGGACAGGTACGGGCAGGGCCCGGCGGGAGGGAACGCCCCGGGTGGGCCCCCCGCGCCCCCGCGGCGGGTCTGGGGCCGCTCCGGGGGACGGGGCAGGGCCCGGGCCGGTGCGGCGGGTCCGGTTTCGCTTTTTTGTCTTCTAAAATCTTTGGTGGCCCGGGAGGCGTTGGTGCGAATGCAGACGTAAATCAGCGCAAGGTGGGGTGGTGTGGGGGGATCCCAGGAGGTGTGTCGGGGCTGAGGTGGGCTCTGCCGGAGGTGGAGGGCTGCCCAGGGCTGTCCGTGTCCCGGCGTCTGGAAGGGCCGCTGGGTATGGAAGGCACTGACGTGCACGTCAAATGAGGCACCATAAGACGATCGAAGCTTAGCTGGCTTTGTGTGTTTTGTTGCTGGTTTTATGACCTGAAGAAAGCTTAACAACTGATTTTTGGAGTGCTTTTAAAAAGTACAACCTCAAAAGTATTTTGACTTAGTTATAGGAGAGGAAAGATGCTTAGTAACTCTTAAAATCTATTTATTACACTTGGTTTCTCTTTATGCTTTCATTTGAATAGGTAGCACTTTCACCCTGTTCCACTGATCACTTAAGATTCCTTATGTGTAATTTTGAGTCATCCAGGAAGCGCTTGTGACCTGTTCCTACAAACGATAAACCTCATTGATGGCCTGTTATTGCAGAAGTTGTGATAGAGTCTCTCAGATAGGTATCTCAGAAGCTGGAGACCCAAAAGGAATCAGGCTTCTATTGACGAACCTGTCAAGTTTTCGTCATAAGGAAGCAAAAAGAACCCTGGTGGTTTTCTCCTTTCCAGGTCACCTCTAAGGAAAGAGTATTTAGTGAAATACAGGCTGTTGTCAGGCAGGTGATGGAGACATAAACCATGTTG